CTGCCCCGGAAGGGACCACATGGCGTGGCAGACCTCTCCTGACCCGCCCACTGCTCCCCTCAGCAGTGTACGTCGATCTGCCTGTTCTGTTCCCCACTCTGTCTCTGGTGAAGCCTCTCGCCGCTCCTGAACCTCTGGCCTATACCCCAGTTCTGTATGCACAAATAAATAAATCTTTAAAAAAATATATATATATAATCGTAGCTGATTTTGTGACTCAGTCATTAACTCGCTCCAAAATATTGCTAAAGCTGTGCTAGGGATGGTGCTAACCCACTCATTGTGTGTTCTCTCAACACAGCAGGATAAAAATCTTTGTCCTGAATAGCAGAGCTGCTATTCAGTTGACTAAATTACAGCAAGTAGATCTTTCTCCCAGCCAGTGACTAACTGAACTCTTTTAAAGAGCCTGTTTCTGTACCTTGGAGACTGAGCCCAGGGAGCCCAAAGCCTCCTCCCTCTTAGCCCTGTGGTCTCCACACCTGGAGCTGATTACTCAAGTAATGAGGTTAAGCTCTGAGTGTTGTTCTAGATCTTGAGTGAAAACAAATCCACCTCACGCAGCAGGAAGTACCCAATCCCACTGCCTACACTATGGAGTACAGGATCCTCAGTTAGTCCATCTGTTGACATTCCTGTGGGAAGGACAGCACTGTCATTTACATGACAAAGGATTTCTATACAGGATGGGTCCCTCTTGCAGATTCATAAAGCTCCCATGAATAGTTGTGGGATTTTCTGCTGTGACAAACTTACTTTTTCCAGAATACACCTGGAAGACCAAACTTTTTCTTTCCTGAGTGATCTTTCACCATCTCAGGGCACAGAGGCACTTACCATAGTCACAGTCCTTCCTTTTGAGCACAAAGCCTGGTTTATAAGAGATACCTGATTACTTGCTGAATATAAAATTAGCTCATGGATGAATAAAATTACACCAGGTGAGTATACTTGTTCACATGCACAGACACACTATAAATCACTTTTTCCTGCTGAACACTTTGAACATCCCCTCCCCATGTTTAGCAAGTGCCTAGTGTGCAAAAGGCCCCATTTGTATTTCATATTGTGGCCTCAGAATCTAGAGAGAGATGATAGTAACAATGTGGAACAGTGATCACTGAGGCTAAGTGTGAGGTGTCGAAGGGGCACAAGTGACCAGGGATTTCTGCAGAGGGCGATATTTGAGGAGAGTTTTACAGGACAAATGACAGCCATGAAAAGGTGACACCACACTCATGTATAGGAAACATCACTGCACTATCTTGAAGCTTGTTTATAGAGTTAATCATATAGATTCCTTCTTTGACAGCCCTGTGCCTCTCTGTAAACTCTTATTATTCATTTCACATCAAAACTTCACGTACTTGCATACTTCTTGCTCAGTTATAAGATCTTTGAGTAGAGAAAATATACACCTTTTGATTGTTTGCTCCTAACCTCGTATGATTAAAAATAGAAAAGTTCAATGGCAAATACAAACATTTGTGTTGAATTTGAGTTGGTGGATATCACAGGAAGTGTCAGAGAGAAACTGAATTGGGACAATGCCTCTCAAACTAATATATGTGTAAGTTGGGTAGGGTCTTATTTAGCACAGGTTCTGTGGCTCTGTCACAGGAATTTTGATTCTGAATGTCTGGAACAAGCCATGAACTTGCATATACAGCAAATTCCCAAGTGATGTTGGTGCTTTTGGACACTGGACACTGTTCTGAATAATGGTAGTTTGGAGTTCCATCCCCACGATTAACTATCTGTGTAATCTCAAGGTGCCGAATCTCTCTAAACCTCAGATCTCTCACTTGTACAATGGTGATAATGGAAGCCCTGGGGACTAATATGAGAGCTAGGATACAGATCTATAAAATGTTCTGTTGTCAAGCACCTGACCCAAAGTACAGACTAAGATTTTAGATGTCACTGTGAGAAGTAAAGGGTACAATCAATCTAACTAAAGGACAAAGAGTCATGACGGTATAGGCAGGTCCAATTTGACCCACCACGTCTTGCTAATGCTGGCGAAGTAAAAATAGCTTTTAATTTGAGTGATTGAAGACCATCAAAAGACTATAATGTGTGGAAAATATGCAACATCCCAATTTCAGGGTCCATAGATAAGGGCTATTGGAACATAGCCACACGTGTTCATTTACATGTTGATTTGAGGGCTCTTGTGTTAAACCAGCAGAGCTGAGTTGTCATATGAAAGTCTCTGGCCAGCCTGGGGCATGGGCTGTAATCTCTGTTAGATCACCACACACTGGTAATGGGATATTTGGACTAGCACTATTAGTATGTCTGGCGTCTAGAGTGGTAATGTTCACTGGTGGTTGATTTGCACAGTATAAATGAATCGACGTACCAAAGGAACTGAACAATAAAAAAGAATTGGAGAATAAGGTAAATTTGAGGGAGGGATTAAAAAATGGAATAATTATCAGAGCTTCTCAAACCAGGAAATGTTATGAGATGCCCCAACCCACTTTTTTAGAAAAGCAATATTTATTGTCCTTTTTTCTGATTATAAAAGCAATACATGATTATAATTTTGGGAAAATACAAAAATGTATACAGAATATAAATTGGTCATATTCTCAGCAATTGAGGTACTGTTTAAACATTTTTGTTTTACAAAATTGGGATGTTACTGTACAAAATGGCTATATATGTTTCTAATGTAACAATTACTCAACATCTTCATATTCTCTGGGAACATTATGTTCAATGGCTAATATATTCCATTGTTTGGAGATGCCATACTTCATTTAATTACTGTCCTCATTGGATATACTATTTTTAAGGTTTTATTATTTGTAAGTGCTGTGATCCCGAACTTGCTGAAAATCTATTTTTTTCTTGCTGTGAAAAATTATTGTAACAGCCTTTCTCTGAGTTTGGGTTACTTTCAAGGAACGTAGAAGATATAAGAATTACATTAATCAGGCTTCTCTCTCACTCTTTCTCTCTTTCTCTCTCTCTGTAAGGGTCTCAGTTTTCCAGATTTCCAAACTACACTAGTTTTGGGAACTTCTACCTAGGATTTGCATCATTAAGTGACTTCTAATCAGCCATGCTTGTTTGTTTTTGTAGTTACCCATTTTAAAAGCTATACCATTACAATCAGGAAAGTGATGTTTTTCTGTTTTGTTTTAAATTCCCCTTTCCCTTAGAAAAAAAGGCAATAATCTTATCAAAAATATTTTATTTACAAAGAAATCAATTATACTATACATCCTATACTGGAAATACATTGAATAATTGCTAAAATAAATACAGGCAATTAATTCAATCTTTTATAAGAAAGAGAATTTGACACTTGAATGTTATCAAAGCTTAACTTAGAACATAAATAGTTACAAAGGAAAACTCAAGTTTTCATCCCATCTGTCGGTAAGGTGTATCTGTTTCCTACAGGCTCTAATCCATGAGTCTGACTACAGAACGTGATGTAGCATTTTGTACTCCAAAGGCAGAATGTGAAGCTTTTTCTTAGCCAGGGTGTATGGAACATAGACGTGAAGGGAGCAGAAAAGTAGGACACTTCCCCACACAGCTACTTCTCCATACTTTCTATGCAACTATTCATGTGTTTGGTGGTCTTTTTAACACAGGCCTACACAGCACCAGCTACAAAGCAAGATGGGTCTGTCAAAAATCCAAACTAGATACCTGAAGGCCTGGAGTAGCTAAAATAGCTGGCTAAGAGTACCTGGTTCAAGTTTTTTATGTGCCAATCCTTGACATGTTTATTGACTCTCGATATCATTTCTACTATGTAAACATATTTATGGAGCCAAGAGTGAGAGAGGTGAAGCAAATATCTGTATAATTCAGGAACAATTCCATTCTAGAAAGTAAAATAAGATGCCTGGAATTTGAATCTGTCAACTTTGAGTTATATGACTTAGATTTATTGTTATTTATCTAATCATCTTAATAAACCTCATACTACTATATAAACTACAAAAAAATAAACAGAATCTGGTGAATTCAGGCCACAGAACAACATGATGAACTGCATTGTATTTGCCAAAATTATACGGATGATTTTTTCCACTTTCTGCTTTACTTAGCCTGGGAAAACACTGCCAGAATCTTCAAAGATGAATTGATCTTTGAGGCTCATGTTTTGTCCAGTGCTGGATGCCTAGGGTTTTCTTACCAGGGTTAGATTCCTTTTTTAATCATATGGAAAAAAAATTGCACTTTTCTACCCTTTTGGCCTTGATTTTCAATGTTCAATGATTTTCTTGACAAGTATATGGCCTTTTCTAAAAGAAGTGAAAAAAAAGTGAAAATAGTGAAAGTTGAAATGCTTCTTCACAGAAATAATCTACTCAATTTTAGAAGGCCGAGAGAGAGAGAGCAACATTTTATTCTTTCTTTCATGAAAAACATCAGTCATCCAAGCTTCACATTTTGGGTAGGTTTCTTTCAGTATGATTTTTTTTCAGAACCTATTTCATTTTTTTTTTTTTAAGGGAAGAACAGGTGTATTTTGGCAGAGGAGTAAAATATAAAATATGCAAAATCTGTTTTAAAATTGGCATACAAAATTTTAAAACACAGTACAATTATATAAAAATACAGCACAGCCAACGGTCTCTAAAATTTCCTTTGGCATTTCATTTGGTAGAGTGAAACAGAAAATCCTCTCTAAAAAAAAAAAAAAAAAAATAGCTATCAACACAGTCCATAAGTTAGGTTGTATACGTTGAAAGAACTTTTCCTTGAGTTTCCAAAATCCTTTTCTTCCATGATAACCCACATAAAGCATGACTAGTGAGGTATATAGGGCAAAACACTGTTAGGCAGATGTACAGTAAGGAAAAAGTGCATAAACAAAGAATTCTTCCCATTTTCATAGAAATAACAGGCTAAATCTGAGTTTCTTCTTGTAGATGTATCCTTTTACTTTGGCAGAATCAAAATAAACCATAGAAGTCTCTTTGTTCAAGTCCCAGCAGCAGTGATATGTCTCCTTTGGTGGCGTTCTGTGATGCCACGACTTGGTACAGTCCTTAGAGGAACTAAGGTTTTGTGTGTATCTGCATGAGCGACTCCAACAGTCAAACAACGTAAGATCACACATCAAGCACCATGTCATACTGTTGTGCCTTCTTCCGCCGGCCACATTTGTTGATGAGAACCATGTAGAGCGTCAAAAGCATCACCCAATAGCATGCGTAGAGCAACGTTCCGACGATCAGGACTGTCTGTTTGGATTCTGAAAATGGCTTTTTAGATTCCTTGTAAATGGTGAAAATCACACCTCCCAGGAGGATTGTAAACCAAACCGACACGGGAATGAGTCCTATGAAATTAACAACAATGGTTTTCCTCCCAGATGTGCCCCACCCGGCTTTGTTTATTGTGGCAATTGCAAACATCTTGGCAGGAAGTAAACTTGACATATATAACACCGAGTAGAGGGACATAAAGACCATGACGATATTCCCTCTTAGACAGCTGGCAAAGGACGATTTTATGAGACCTACTAACTGGACAGTTAACAGGAAGAGGAGGATGTTCCAAATCTTACCCCTGTAGAAGAGCTGGATGACTGTGGCAATGAGAAAGAAAGGGAAGAATCCAGTGATAACTGCTTCGTAGGTCATCCACAGATGATGTTTGTGAAACCACATGGCATTGTACAGCCACTCTCGGAAGTAGGACTTGCTCCAGCGAGTCTGCTGGTTTAACCATCTGAGATATTCTATAGGGGTTTCCGTAAGGCACTTGGATCGCGCTGTGTATTTTGTTGCATAGCCCAGACTCAGCACCCTGTTTGTGAGATGCCGATCATCGCCAAAACTACATTGGCTGCCCATAAATTCCTGATTGTACCAGTCTTCCACAAATTCGTGTAGCAAAGAGTTTCTGTACATTCCCAAAGGGCCACTAATACACTGGACACACCCAAAATAAGACTGGCAGGCCCTTTCTATGTTAAACGCCATCCAGTATCTCACGCTGCTGAGGAAGGAGATCCAGGAATCGTACTTGTTTAAAATCTGTGAGGAGGAAGAGATGCAGAAATGAAAGGGAAGCCTTAGCTGAAAATGTCAACAGAGTCTACCCACCAATCTGAGGTCACTCTCTAGAGTGGGGATTGTTCATGTCTCCCGTCTGGCTTCTTTCCTCTCTTTGATATGATTACATTTCATTTTTTGGACTCTACATAACTGGATCCATTAATTAAGGTGCATGCATGTGTTTTAATTCTTTGATGAGAATTTCTTTTCTACTTCAACACGCCCTGTCCTCTTTTTACTGTTTTTGTTTTATTCTTGTTGTATTACAATACTGAGATGTTTCTCAGACTTTTTATTTCTCAGTCCCTAAATTCTTCTCCCAGACATTCTTTGCAACCATTTAAGTGTGAAGATTTTTTTAGTCCATTTCTCTCCTGTTATGGCTAGTTGACAACTCATCCAATCCTTAGCTATTAAACTTCTCTTTTCTTGTTTGCAACACCAGTGACCAGTTTGATCTTGGCTCCCCAACCCCCATCCCCAAATTGAACCCTGAAATAATGCTACGGAAAATTATCAGCTTTCTCTTGGTAATATTTCTAAATTCTAGCCTAAATTTGTTCTGTTTTCATCTTGATTTTCCATACTTTCTTCTGTTCACCCCAGGTTATGTCTTTGTATACCCCAGTAATGCCTTTCCTTCACCACTGCCATGCATTTGCAAATGAGTTCTGCAGCAACACAATATCTAAATCAAAATCAAATTTTCATGTGTTTCTCAACTATGTTTACATATTTGCAAAGTACTCATCTTAATTTTACATATTTCCACATACGTGTTTTCTCCTCTTACAACTGCCATATCGCCTTCGCCTTCATTCATATTTTTTCTTTAGCAGTTTTCCCAGTGATAACAAACCATGGGAGAGAGATAATAACTGATGGGGAAAATAACAGGAAAGCCCACTTATTCATTGTTCCTTTGCCTTTCTCACCAGTATAAATTCAAATTGTTTCTCTTTTTTTCCTTGTTTAGCAATTTGGATTTCTGATCTATCACATATTGGCTAACTTTTAAAAACTATGGTCTAAGATATAGACTCCCACCCCTCTCCATATTTCCCGTTTCTTTACCTTCCAACATCAGATTGTATCAGAATAGTAAGTTACGATGCAGTGGAAATCATCACACACTTCTATTATATTGTTTGTAACTGATCAGTCATTAAAACATGGTTATACCCCAGAATTATGCAAAGAAATCCTAAGTTATTTCAGGTTAGATAAAAGAGGAGACAGTGAGCTTGAGACACATATTAACGGGTCTCCAGCACCAAAGACTTTACCTGGCACAGGGTTTTGGTATGGAGTAGACATACATTCAATGAAACAAGTAGTAAGAATCCTACTAAAAGTGATCCATGCCCCAGAGTAAAGCCACACACACCTGCACATCTCCCCCAACACCTCCAACCATGGGGTCTTCTTCTAAAACTTTTACCATCTCCACAGAGGAGGCAGGATCAAGCATAGTGTCAGAATCACAAACCTGCAAAGGAAGTAGAAAATGAGTTAGAGAAAGTTAGAACTATGCATATGCTCCCTACAGTCAAATAGGGCATCTGCATTATAACTTCAACCTTATTATCACAAGGCTTCAATAATCATGTACCACAGGGATGTCAGTGCTTGTTTTACCATGGCCGATGCAAGGAACTTGTTTTATAGCAAGCTCAGTGTTTTCCTGGATGAACTTGCTGGAGAGAGGGGCTGACATGACATGACCTGGTGCTAGGTGATGCCCTGTAGGGTAGTTAGCTTGTCCTGGTTTGCCATTCGTTTCCAATAAAAGTCCCATGTTGCAGGCAACATCCTCGTTTCCCGAGACCTCCATCTAATTTGGTCACCCTGACTTTTTTTTTTCTTCTCCAGTTGCCTTCAAAAAAGAATTTTAGGAAATTTGTTCCACTGGTCTAAATCATGATGACAATTCTATGATAGTATTGAGAGGAAAGCAGTTTATAAGGAATTTCCCCCATTTTAATATGACAAACAAAACACAGCAAAGCAAGTCTCCTATGGCAGGTTGTATAGTTCTGAAGAAAGAACTATATGTCTTTAGAAGATTAAGTATTACTCTTGCTTCATGGATATAAAAGCTGTGGCAGATTATCTTATGGCATTCTAAAAATGCTGCTGTTCTTAAAAATTATCTTTAATGGATCAAAAAATAAAAAAGCAATTCTAAAGTCAGAACTACTTCTTTAAGAAATTGATTGGAAAAAAAAAAAGAAAGAAAGTGATTGGATTTAGTTTATTCCTATGAACATGACACCCATTTCTTGGATTCCTGAGTTACAGAGTCATAAATAGCATTTTCATTTCCAGTCTGATTTCTGAAATCAGTGAAATAAAAATATCACTTCCTACCCTCATAAGCTGATGTGAGAAATAAAGGTAGATCTCTGGAATAGTGGGCTTCTTAATTATGTTCCCTAGTACTAGACTGTGAATTCCAATCACCCCTCCTTCCAACAGAAGCAGTGCTTAGCCATTGAAAGTTACCTGAGACAAGAACCTGCTGTTTGCGGGAGTACACTCCTGGAAGAACAGGGGAATGTGGAACCATGAGACAGCTGGGAAAGGCTCTAGCTTTCTCAAAGGTGGCGTATCCCTGACCACCTTCCCCATGAGCATAGGAGACTAAAAGTAAGGAAAATGCTGCCACCTCGATTTCCCCAAATAATTAGTACTAGTAAATTAATACTAATAGATTAATATTAATAAAAACCTGGTATTCTTTTCTAGGGAATGCAGCAAGGTTGTAGTAGATATAAATCAAGCAGACTTGACATGGGATGAATAAGTTTCTCCACCCGTTCAAATAAATGGCATGATTAGCAGGTGCTGGGGGTGTTATCTGTAACCCCATAATTTGCCAATAATTTTGGTTCACTGCACTTAAGATTTGACCTGTTTATAGAAAAAGTAATCATCTTAAAAGTTCATTAAATTAATCTTAACACTATAAAAACAGAAGAGCTAACAAAATCTAAAAATTTTGAACAAAAACAAAAACTAAGAAAACAACGTGTAGAAGCATAAACCTGCGTAGTTAAAGGGAAGGCTAGATATACATAGTATAGGCCTGTCACATAATTAGCTAAGGAACCCCAACATAAAAAGAAGAGGTGTCATTTCCACAGGGATTACACCAGAGGAGAAAGCAAACATTGCACAGAAATGAACAGTGATGTAAAATGTATATAAATAAATTATATGTATAAAAGCACGGTTTACAATTCTACTCATAGCTGTATTTTTGGTAAAAGATTATATATTCATGATGAATGTTAGAAATTTTAAAAAGTAACTTAAATGCATTAAGGGAACTTAAGGCTTGATGAGTCCATAAGGCATGTAGTTAAAAAAAAATATGAACTTTTATCAATTATAGTAATTATAGTAATTAATTATAGTCATCTGAGGGTTACGTTTTCAATTATTTTTTATTTCGCTTATCTATAAGCAAAATATTTAGCAAATCTATTTTCTAATAACAATCCATTTACTTTTTTTGGCAGCCCATTTTGGTCCCATACAATCTCACTTATTTTAGTGGGGAAAAATTTAGGCAGAAAGGAGAAAATAGCTTTTCATTATACCAAATAGGATTTGACTAATATTTGGGTTTGTACCCCAAGCTCCCAAGCCTCAGAAGCCAGAAAATGCGCCTGAGGGCATGAACTAGATCATTTCAAATTGGCGATGCCTCTTCTGTAGCCCCACTCAACAGTGTCCACAGTGGGACTCTGTCCACAGCCTGAGATCGTGGCGGCCCCTGCACAATCACGACATAGGGTGAGGGGGGGGTGGGGGGGGAGTGAAAGCAGCCCCAAGCCTTCCCTAGCCACCCTGGGAGGGACACAGGTGAACTACAGCCTTGCAGTTTGTTGGGCTATGTCACTGTGGTCTGCCCCGTGCCGGGGGGCGAGGCCCGAAACACCACTGCTACCTAGAATCTTACAAAGCTTCCCAGTCAGATCTCCTTTTTTTACTTGGGTATTTATTATCAAAGTCATATACAATGTCAACAAGATGCCACCAAAAAAAAAAAAAAAAAAAACTTTACCCACCAAAACCGCAAAGCAAACAGTCAAATGGAATCCCAGCCATTTAAAAAGTCATCCAAATTACCCCAAAAGCCAACTGAATTCTGTAAACATCTTTATACATCTAGCCCACAAATAAAATGGGTTACGAGAAAAAATAGCAGTTCAGAGATCTGGTACCAAGGTTTTAAGAAAGGCAATGGCTTTACCACTTCTACTGACTTAAACAGTTACCTCTGACCCAGACAAAACTTAACTGTACAGTAAGTAGAGCCATATTGGAAACTGACAAAATTGAACTCCAAAAAAAGAGAGACAGAGAGAGATTACAAAGACAGATAACAACTCCTCCAAAAGCAATGTTTTGGGTCCCCCAACCTTGTCTGTCAGGGTTTGGCTGTGCCCACACAGCAGACAGGGGCCTGTAAAGAGGGTAGAGAAGCATGAAGGAGAAGTTCAACCACCTTCAGAATGTAGCCTCTAGAGACTTTACGACCACAGCCACCTCTAATGACTCAACCCCGGGAAGGTAAAACCAGGAAGCTAAAATAAGAATAAAAACAACAGGAAGGGGGTGATCCAAAATCCATGTTCAAACAACTCCGTCAGCTTGTAAGCATAAGCTGGCCAGGGTGCCGCCCCTTTGAAATGACTAAACTTGAACCAAACTTCTGAGGCTGTGCATATTTAAATTGGTCTCTGCCCCTCCCAGTTCCAGCAGCCATGTGCCAGGAGTTCTCAGAGAGAGCTTGTTGGCCTGGTGAGTTGAGCTGTGTCAGAAGGGTAAAGCAAAGCGCTCAGAAGCTTCTTGGGAGGGGTTATAGTGGGAATGAGGAGCTTTAAAGGAATTCTACTTGGGGAAGTTGTTTGGTGAGAAGATGCCAACCAGGAAGCCCCCAGGACAGTCTGTGAAAGTGGGGGTGTTTGGGAGGTAGTAGAATGATTATTCCTTAGAATGTAAAGACTGTAACTTACCCCTTCTTTAAAATCTGTATAGTAGGAACAGGAGTTTTAGGTGTCTGCTCACCCATGAACAAGTCAGTTCCGGGCTAGAATTTGCAGGTCACATATACCAGTTCACACAGAGCAAAACCTCAGCTGGGGAAAAAACTCCAGGGCATGATTGCACACAGGAAACAATTAGAGAACAAATCCAAATGCCTTTTTGGCCACACAGAAGGTATCACTGTGAGTTGTTTAAAGTATATGACCACTAGATTCAATTGCTCACTAGGAGACATGGAAATAATGAAAGTCACCAACTTTCAATTAACATGAATGGAAATGGAGAGAAGGGGACCTGATTGGGAGGAACCGGCCTCCTCAGCCTTAACCACAGAATCAACTAGCGTGTTTGTGACTGTAACTCTTTCTCCTTTCACTGGTTCAGTCAGGACTTACCGACCTCCCCTTTCCTTCCTGTCAGACATGGAGGTTGGCAAAAGACTGTGTACAGGGCAAGCCCGACCTGACACCTGATTTGTTTTGTAACTGTAATGTTTTTTTAATAGTTAAAAAAAAAAAGTGATTATTTTTGGGACACATGGAATAGATCGGAAATTCAAAGTTCAGTTTCCCAAAATCTTGCCATGCTCATTCATTTTCCCATTGCCTATTGCTGTTTTTACTGACGCAGCAAAACTAAATAGAGAAAGTCAGAGGCCTTATGGCCCAGAAAGCCTAATAGTGCTTCCCTGCCAAGTCTTTTATGAGCAGTTTGTCAGTTTTGCCAAATGGGTCTAAAATGGTTGCAAGGGAGAGGGTTCTCTTTTCTTAAATTAAAAGATAAAGTTGTGATTGAAAAAAAAAATATATATATATATATATTTACATGTTTATTTATTTATGTGTATAGAACTAGGGTATAAGCTAGAGGTGCAGGGACAGTGTGAAGCTTCACCAGAGACAGAGCAGGGAGCAGAACAGGCAGATGGACTAAGTACACTGCTGAAGGGAGCAGCAGGCAAGACTGGAGAGGTCTGCCGCGCCATGTGGGTCACCTGCAGGGTAGGGGATCAAATTCACACTGAATCAGTTGCAGCTAGCTTGCAGCAATGCATCCTAACCCGTTGTGTCACCAGGGAGGGACCATGATTGAATATATTTTAAACCCAACTTTAATTCTAAAAGGTTTTGAAGGGTTACTTCCTTCCCTATGTGTTGTAAATGAGTAGCTGTGTAAAAAGTATAAAATATTATAAACTAGATATTTTTTCTTTAATTGTGATTTGCCTATTATACAAAAAAGTACTATCAGAATCAAACCTCTTTTTTTTACTATTTCTGTGACCTTGAAGAAGTCACTGATCTCAACATACAGATGGAAGATTAGAGCAGACAATTCGGGAATGAGACCAGAGACCAGAGGAGCTTGGGTAAAGATGATTAGCATCAGCCTAGAACTGATGGAGGAAGTAATAGTAAGGAGGCCTGGCCA